ATTCACATAGAAGATAAATGTTTATAATAAAAAAAAATAGTGAAATAAAAAGATTCGATATTGTCTTAAACTTTTAAACGTAAATTTATGAAAAAGACAATTTCGAATAAAATAGATGATAACGGTTAATGATTGTCATACAATAGAACATTTATGATAGAATATAATCGATTAGATAATCCTAAAGAAGAAAATCAAATACGTAAATTATAAGGTTATTAAAAGATGAATAAAGTATAAAAAAAAGCTTGTTAGCGCACCCCTTGGAAGCTGAAATATGGAACTCATATATTCCTCATAAGTCAGAATATACCACTAGTTGCTTAGGTCTATAATAGGAGGTGTCTATAACGAGAGCCTGTATTACTATGGTCTGCAATGGGGATGAATAGGCGGAGGAGTCGCAAAAACTTCGACTTAAAACTTACCCTCACTATTTTCTTCAAAAATATATGTGAGTTCCACAATAGTACAGGATGTCCCATAAATAACAACCTGATAAGAAATTTGAATATCTCCATTACGGCTTGGGCAAACGAACTGATTTTTTATATCAATGATAGAGACATGTTCAAAGTTTATATCCATAAAGATATACTTAGAGAGACCTTTTGGTAAATATATTGTTTTTTTCCCTATATGTGAAAAAGTAAAATTTTTTTGTTGAGATCAATAGTGACACTCAACAAAGGGTCTCTCTAGGGATGTCTTTATGGATATAAACTTTGAACATGTCTCTATCATTGATAAAAAAATCAGTTCGTTTGCCCGAGCCGTAATGTAGATATTCAAATTTCTTGTCGGGTTGTTATTTATAGGACACGCTGTATTAACGAGATAATGCTTTCGAATCGTGCTTTTGATTGATACTTGCATAGTTAGTCTACTGCAACAAGCAAAGGTTCTCAGAAGTTTTTTCTCTATAGAACTTTTTGTGGAGCGTCTTGTGATGATCATTTTAGTTAAAAAATATTCAAGTTAAGTCAATAAATCATGATGTTAGGACCAAAATACTGAAAACCTTCAACTATTCGTCACTACGACTGAGCGGTAATGGACGTTTTCGAGTATTTTTCTCCTATCATGATGATTTATTGAGTAAATTTGAATATGTTTTTGTTACCAAAATGATTCGTGCAACGAGCTGTATGAAAGAAAAAGTCCTTTGAGAAGGTTGTATTTATTTAATGTTGACTATCGATGAACTCTCGACCAAAACTAGAATTGGCAATCATTTTATCGTTGGTAAATAATACGATCTAAGCGACAATGTTAAATCTAATAAAATATTTTTCTCAATCATTTTTTAATGTTTAGATGAAACTCTTTTCAGTTGTACGTTGAAAAATCAAATTTTATCTCTTGTTATCGATATTAATACAAATGGAATGGAAAATTATAAACAAGGTAGAAATGCAATTATATTTTCACATATCTTTAGTATGTTCAGTAATTTACAATATTTAAATTTCTGTCCACCTTCAATTGGTCATCAACGATTATCATTTGATACTTCACCTCTAACTGTTATATCTAAAAATTTATTAGAATTACATGTCTCTTTGCGTAGTTTTACTAATTGTCTTTATTTACTTGATGGTCGTTTCAATAAACTTCATACACTTTATGTTAATATATCTTTGATTCGCTCTTTGCCTTTAATAATCAATAATAGGGTAGATTATTTTTTATTTAAATGAATTAATAATACTGGTTTTTTTAAGGAAAAACTGTTTAATTTAAAATACTTTTCACTTCATTGTGCTTGGGAAACATTTGATTATGATGAATTAATTGTACCACTTTTACATCGAATGTCAAATTTAGAAAAGCTTGATTTGAATCTTATTGTTTGTGAAAGAAAAACATTTATTGATGGTAATGAATTAAAGATAAATATTGTTGATTATATGCCAGAATTAAAAAACTTGACATTTAATATTCGTTCAACAAGTAGTTTTTATAATAAAATTAATTTTCCATCAAATGAAGATATTCAAAATACGTTCACAGATTTTAAAGATAAAAAAATAATGTATTGTATTGATTATTTTCCAAAGGCAAAATATGGTCAATGTCATATTTATTCATATCCATATAAACAGAAACATTACGATGGTATAACAAATAATTTTCCTGATGAAATATTTAAATATGTTCGTAAAGTGTCATTATTTGATGAACGACCTTTTGAACATGAATTTTTTCTTCGAATTTCTCAATCATTTCCATTAATGGAAATTTTAATTGTAGTTAATGAAAAACGACAAAATAATAAACAATTTAGAAAATCAAAAAATGAAAATCAAGATTTATCAATTATTGAATATCCTCATCTTATTCAACTTGATCTTTTCAAAGCTCACAAAGACTATTATGAACAATTTTTATACGATACAAAAACATCTTTACTAAATGATCTTTCTCTTTATACGGCTTATCCAATAATGCAAAAAGTAACACGTAATTTTAGAAGAAATGCAACACGAACTAATTGTTCGAAAATAACTTACCTTTATTTTTATATTAAATCAACATATTCTGAACATTTAAAAGAATATTTTCCTCATGCAAAAATAGTTTGATTATTATTTATTATTATTTAAATAAAACATGAAGAGAAAATAAGATTAATTTACATAGAACTGAAGTGTTGAAACAGAGATATGGAGACTAATTGTTCAATATGTATATTGGAGAACATTTCTTATTATAAATAAATATATGTTTATCTACTTGTGCATATAAATTAGAAAAAAGAAACAATATAATATTAGAATTAAAAAGCAATATTAGACATCAAAAGAAAGATAAATAATTAGTGAATATCGTGATTGAGAGATTTAATTAGATAAGAATGATTCATTTTATTGAATGAGCACTCTATCGATAAAAATGATTAGAAATTAATATGCTTTTCATATTTTCATTGATTCAGTTAATCTATGCAATTGAACATTCATACATTGAGCTCATTTAAATGGTTAGGAATCTTTTAGTTAATTGATCTTCAGTTATTCAAACTCATCTATTGTCCGTTTCAAAATGTAATGTGCTCCACTGTTTTTTGAATAACTCAAGAACACAAATAGCTAGAGATCTGCGATTTTCACCAGTCGAAACAGGAGATAAGGAGACGTCTTTTTCTTTAATATTATATAAAATGAAATCATTTTAAAACCAGTCATTTCTGCAAAACATCGAGAAAATGTATAAAAACAGTCTGTCATTCAGATGAAATTTTGACATAAAGTAGGACAATACACTTAAAAAATAAAAGAAATGTATATTTTTCGTGCTAATAGATAGATGATGTTATTTGTTCAACATTAGAATGCGGGAAGATAATCATACGAAATGTACGTTGAACTACATACTTGAAGTCCCTCTATCTAGATCACATGTCAAGACCAAAATTTCATCGGAATAACAGATTGTTTTCATGCATTTTTTGTAATGTTTTGCAGAAATGACTGATTTTAACATGATTTCGTCTTATACAATACTGAAGAAAAAGACATCCCCTTTTCTTCTCTGTCGATTGGTGGAAATCGCAGGTCTCTAGCTACTTGCATTCTTGAGTTATTTAAAAAAACAGTGGAGCACATTATATTTTGAAGTGGACAATAATTTATACAAACTAATATTTGTCGAAGATAGACTTTCAATATGATTAATTAATAGGAACGATACTGCACTTTTCTACTGATATTTCACAAATCTATTTTTTAAACTTTACAATATCTAGTCATCTTAATAACAAAAAAAACCCGCAATGATGTTTTTTTTTTGTCCGAATTGAATTATCAATAATTGACATTTTGCCATGTATTAGGTTGGCAACAAAGTTTTTGGATTTTTTTCGAAAATTTTATTTTTATTTTTTAACTTCAACAGTACAACTAGCTTTCAGTTATATATGCACCACTACTATCTATGACTTGTCGCCAACGCTCGGGCAGAGATAGGATCCCGCGTTTATAGAAGTCCTGGGACTTTTGACCAAAGAAGTTGGCGATATCCATTTTCACGTCGTTCTCGTCGTCGAACTTTTTCTCACGCAAATAATGAGAAAGAGAAACGAAACAAATGGTAGTCCGTTGGAGCCAAGTCAGGAGAATAAGGTGGATGAGGAATGGTAATCCATCAGAGCTTCAATAATTTTTCGCAAATCGACTTTGCAACATGGGGTCTTGCGTTATCATGCAAATAGTAAATTCCATCCTGCTTTCCCTTGAGTTTTTCGGTAACCGGGTCCAATTGTTGACAGTAGAGATCAGCAGCGATGGTGCAACCATTTGGAAGACACTTCCCAGTGAATAATTTCATTGACACCCCACCAAACGCTCAGCATCACCTTCTTGGGGTGTGGATTACTCTTAGGTGTTGCTACGCCTGTTTGACCAGGGCTTAGCCACTGGCATCTATGCATGTAGTTAATATACAACACCCACTTCTCATCACCGGTGATAAGATTGCGGAGTCATTGATAGTTGCGGTGAGATGTCATTAAATCCATACAAGCATCAACCCTGTATTGAAGTTGATGTGATGATAACTCATGGAGTATCGAAACTCCATATTTCCATGTTTTACCTAATTCGTTCAGATGTTTTTCCACCGCAGTATAAGAGCATCCAAGCTGCTCTGCTAAACACCGTGAAGTCAATCGAGGATCTTGTTCGATAAGCTGCTTTAAGAGATCCACATCCACTTCCAGTGGCCTACCGGGTCGAGGTAAATCGTCGAGTTCTAAGTTACCGTTCTTAAAGCGATTGAACCATTGTTGTGCCGTACGAATAGAGAGTACATCTTCGCCCATCGTGCTGCATATGTTGTTGGCTGCTTCCGTTGCTTTGTGACCCAGACGGAATTCATGAAGTAAAAGCACTCGAATCTCTCTACGAAAAGGATTCATTTTCAGTTCGTGATCAGCGTCCATATCGATGACTTTATTATAATTCGAAAGATATTCACACTCACTTAATATACCCTTAGTATAGAAACTTCTAGAACTTTCTCGAATGTTTTAGAACATTTTTGAAAAAAAACGTAAGAACTTTGTTGCCAACCTACTAGAAAAATATTCAACAAAATCAACAGTTTTATTTTCCAATTTTGATTATCAGTTTAGTAAATCTGAAACACAAACAAAATGCAGAGCGCGACTGACCTCCGTACCAGAGATGTCCTTGGCAGCGCCATCGCCACGACAATGTCAGCAACAACTTTTTATATAGTTCGCTACAGCGCGGTTTTCTGCTACCACTGTGATAGATTTTCAGCTGCCATGAACATCTATGTTCAGCATATAGTAGTGAATAGTTGAGCAACATTATACGTAAAGGCATTCTTTTTGCTTTCATCAATCTATTTTCGAAGGATTTCTAAACTAATATGTATTGTCTTGGAAATAGCTTTTAACATTTCAATTACAACTTGAAAAAAAATCAAAGATAATTTCTTAAAAATCCCACCATTAAAAATGAAAACTATTCGAAAATTTTTAAAATTTCTAATTTAATTTTTTTCAGATTGAGTCATGTATGACTATATAACGAGATTCTCAGTTATTAATTATCGTTTTCCGCATTTTTATAGCCCCCGAATAGAATCGAGTGTTCAAAAAGAACGGATTTCAGCTGTGCACTGATCATATTTTCATGATCTTGGTAAACTTTTTCTCATTTCGAAATGTTGGTTAAATGTGAAGAACGAGTGGCTGAGGCAACTAAGTGAGTGAAAACCAATAAGTTGGCTACTGCACTTTTTGCAGTTAGCCGCCTTTCAGTGAACGGGATTCGAAACACGAAAACGTTTGTCTCGAAGGACTCTAACTGTAATAATTCGGTCTGAAATAATTCTCCTATGAACACAGAACCATATACCTTGTTCCTACAAATCAGGAACTACATATTGTATTCTGAAATATGGACATTCATATACAGTTCTTGGTTTTTAAAAACCATACCTACTGTCCTGAAATTGGAACCCGCGAACATATAGTGATCATCGGGAAAAGCAAAGAAAATGATTTTTATACATCCCAAGTGCTGGAAAACATGTACAAGTCCATGATCTTATTTGTTTTTGTTTTTCACAGAAGGGAATCCTGAGTAACAAGAACATTAATAACCCTAATGCTTCGTTCTCTTAACACCAAGGGAGAGAAGCATATCTCATATACAGAATAGAATATATTGAATTGCGATATAAGAGTACCAATATATCCATGGCACATGCGCAACACAGAGCGAGCATAACATATGAGAAAAAGCGCATGATCAGGCTTGTGACTGTTAAATGATAATCTTTAACCAAAAAAAACAAGCAATCGTGCAATTTGCATATATTTTAGCTAGCAAGATCATACGTACTCCTTCGAGATAGGAACCATCAATTGTTATCATATTTAACAATGAATCATAATTATCAATCTAAAATATGAGTCTTAAAATAATATATTTGTTAGTTCGATCGAAGATTTGTAATTCTTATATTAATAATGAATAAATTATAATGAGAAAAGAAAGCTATAAATTAAATAATAGGACATCAAAATTATTCAATCATAATAAAATCTACAAAATTTCATATGGAATATGTACTACTAATGTGCTACTCTTTTATTATTTTTTTGTTTCTTTGCTGTATTCATACAAAAAACAAAGAATAAAACATAAAGTCTCTGAATTAAAAAATGAAAGTATATAGAAAAAAATAATATTTGTTCGTGTTATTTTATACACATATAGGGAAAATATATGTATCAAAAATTAAGCAATTCGTCGAACGACAAGTGTAGAATTTGATAATTTTGTATCACTGATTTTTCTTTTTTCATCATCACGTTTTATTTTTGTTGATGGTGGTTCCATAAATTCGAATGTATTTGATTGAAGTGATTGAACATTTTCTGTAAGAAATTTTCGTATATCAGCTAATGTTCGATTAAGATCAATTTTAATACATATTGGCATGGAAATATCAGGTAATCGAAGACGAATTGTTGTTGATGATGATGATGAAGTTTTTAAGTATTTTTCAGCAAGTTTCTCAAGATTATTTCCATCTAAAGAATTTAATGTTGTATTTACAGATGATGCAGTAGACGATTTTAATGGAATTTGTCCAGGACCAGAAAAACCAACTGTATTACCACTACCACCAAAAGGTTTAAATGTAGGTGCAACACGTTTATATTCTTCACTATGATGATCTTCAAGACGTACCTAAAACAAAATGTTTAAGATAGAGAAATAAACTTTTTAAAGGACACTATCAAATAAGATAACAACCCTTCATTTGAGAAATCACCTATACCGTTTTATACAGTAACTCATGCAGTATGAAATGATATATAATTTCATCAAGTTGTATTGTACTGAGAAGCCACATACCAGTTAAGGAATATTATAGCAATTGTGAATGGTATGATTGAATATTATGATTCTTCTGTAATTTTTAGCTTTTATAATATTTTAAATTCTTCGATACTACTCCTGAGAGCAAAGATAAACAATCGCGGAACTTTGTCAGAAACTGTATGCCACCAAATTCTATAAGTATACTAATTGATGTATGT